AGCCGTTACTTGTTCTTGATAGTCACCTTATTCAACTCACGATAATCAATGCACATTCGCATCGATCAGTTCTTCTTCTTAACAAACAATATTGGAGCACCCCAGGGAGATGTACTCGATCGAATAAAGCCTTTGTCAAGTAATTCCTGCAGTTGGATCATCATTTCTTTCATCTCGGCTGGCACAAGACGATAAGGAGTCTTTGCAATCGGAGCAGCACCGGGCACAAGGTCAATTCGGAATTGTACTTGTCTGTCCGGAGGAAGTCCAGGTAGACCATCGGGGAAAACATTGGGATATTCGTTAACAATGGGAATATCATTTACAGTTTTATTCTCGTTTCTTGAGATGTCAACTGTATAGGCCAGATAGATAGGACAACCTTTCGATATGAATTTACGAGCTTTGAGGAAAGAGATTATTTTTAAGATCCTTTGTTCACCGTAGACATGAATAGGATCTTCCCCTTCAATAGGAATGTGTACCATCTTTTCGTAACATAAGAGTTCTGCATGGTTCTTTGACAACCAATCCATGCCGAGAATAATATCGAAATTGGGCAAGGAGATAGGGATTAGGTTAGCAACAAAATTATAGCCTTCAATTTCGATGACACAATCCCTATAGATTTTATCAGCAAGTAATGATATACTTCCTGCAGTATCTACGTGAAATGGTTGCGCGAGTGCATAGCGAACAGTTTGAAAAGAATGTGCAAATTCATAAGATACAAAATAATCCGAGGCACCAGAATCAAATAAGATGTGAGCAGGTCTAGAATTGACAAGAAATGTACCCGTCACGACATTCAGGTCCTCACGTGCTTCCTCTGCGGTAATCTGGAATGCACGACCCTTAGCTTTTGGCACCTCCTCCTTTTTAGCTGGAGTACTCTTCGGTTGTTGGACACGGGCTTGACTTCTCGCTGGTTGTTTAACAGAAGCTTGACTTCCCGTCACTTAGCTGGTAAGAGTAGGGTAAAAACGCTTATTGTGGCCAGTAATACCACATGCATAACAAGTCACATCCTTCCTTGGGCAAGCTGGCTTTATATGACCCGTTTTTCCACACCCATAACAAACAATGGATTCCTTGTCTATTTTGCATTGACCTGGATGATTCCTTCCACAAATGCAACATGAAATCGATTGAATAGAAAAAGATTGTGACCTACCGCGACCACGAAAAGCACTATGAGATTGTGCTTGCTTGCTAGGATCAGTTCGAATAGATTGAGCTGGTGGAATAGTGGAAGCAGGAGTAGTTCTTTCAGTACGTGGATGCTTTGGAACAGTAAGAGTGGCACCACGCATTTCTAAGTCATGCTCACGCGTTCGAGCATACTCAACGGCTTTATCGAATGACAGAACATCCCGATTGACAACGAAATCATGGATTTCGTGTCGTAGTCCCTCAATGAATAACTGAATTTTCTCGTCTTCAGTTGGAATATACTTCGTAGCAAACCTTGCTCTTTGATTAAATTGAGTTTCATACTCATTTACAGTCATTTCTCCTTGTTTAAGCTTGAGGAATTCCTTCTCCAATCTTCTCCTCATATCTAAAGGACAATACTTCTCTAGCACACGAGTCTTGAACAACTCCCAAGATAAGTTCTCATGGTCACATCCATCGAGAGCTTCATATGTTGCTTCCCACCAGACTAAGGCTTCTCTAATGAGCATTGCAGAACCATAGATAGCTTTGTCTTCATCATCCACATGAGAAACACGAAATACTTTCTCGGTGTTCTGAATCCAAGTTAGAACAATTATAGGATTAAGGACACCAGAAAACTCCGTAGCACCACTACTCTTGAAATCTTTGAACGAGGGATGCTTTACCTTTCCGCTTGAAGATTCTCCAGTGACTTTCTCTTTTCCTTTATCATCATTCTTTTTGTGTTCTTCGATAGTCTGTCGAATAACACTGGTAAGTTTACCTAACAGTCGCTCCTCACGAGGAGACACTGGAGTATTCACTTCCTCGGGTTGAGGATCTCCACCAACCTCAGGGGTATGGCTACTTACTTATTCAGCCATCGATCTGAAATACGGAGTAAGATAGTATTTTTAGAATATTAGGGTTTACTATTACATCATACTTTTACTTATATATTTCCTATGGTTTGTATCCCTATACTTACAATGATTAAGTTCATATATTGAACTGCCTATAGTTTTAGTCTAAATACCAATCCGTGGAATTTAGTTCGCTTAAACTACTGCTCTGATACCATGGTTGAAAGACCCCAAATTTCGTATATCTAAAAGACCCAAACTTTCATACTTCACAATATCATTACTCCAAAGCATCCTACTTACATATTCATAAAAGCAATATTTTGCATTGATAAAGGGATTACAAACTATTGGATACAAACCCTCTATAACAAAGTGTTATATATTACATAACTACCCAGGATATTGTAATTTATACAAAAATAAACAGAAGTACAAAAGTACTATTACAAACTATTCTAAATCTTTCAACAGTATGTGAACATACTAGTTACTTATCACCTGCAATTGTTAAACAATGATAGGGTAAGCGGTGACGCTTAGTGAGTTCAATAATAGATAAAATATAACGTTATCCCATATATATACTTCAATGTGGCAAAAGCATAGACGAACAACAAGATATATGTGAAATCATGTGACAAGCGTTCATATCAATCAAAGACTTTATTCAAAGATATACTTTTCAATTCTTGATATACATCAATAAAGCTTTGGCCCAAATGGTATAGAAGACATGCAATTTCTGATTAACATCTTGTTAGATTTTAGGCTTATAGTCCTGTCTAACCATTTGCCAATGCCATAGAATAGAAGTCGTTCTGTTACGGAGACATGCTCTACATGGCCAGAGGTTACGTACCAGTACCAATGTGAATCTAAGTCCTTTCACTGATCACATGGTCAAAGGTATTACAATTGCTCTAAACATAGCGAATAAAATAACACGGGAAAATAACTCAGAATAATAACACTGAAAAGCACATAGCACATATAACACATAACATACAATTGTTCCTATATATTGAACTCACCTTTAAGTTAACCGGGGGTTAAAATAGTAATTTGGACAGCACTTCGGCTTTAAATATGACTTTCTATGTTGAAAACCAGGAGCTTAATTGAAAACCAGGATCTGCGAAGGTAGGGCTTCAAAACCAAAAAGATAAAATTTTCGGGCTTCTCGGGGATCTCGGGATGTGTTTCGGGTGTGAAAATTGATACCGGGGCTTCGGGGAAATTCAAAATAGTGAATATATGAAATTAGGGTGAAAAGTGACAATTTTTCAAAGTTACCCGAGAAGGCTCGCAGCCTCCCTTTATATAGGGTGAGAGGGTTCAGAATTAGTGGCTGGGAGGTGTCCACGTTGTGCCTGCGAGGCTCGGTCCGTAGGAGGGTGACGAAGCTGCTCGGTGGCATCAGCAGCGAAGGGCAGGTGGAACGAGAAGCGAAGGGCACGAGGCCTGTTGCGAAGCTCGGACGTGGAAGCGATGCGAAGGGCGCGTCAGGGGCTTGTGGCTGCTTCAAATTGGGACATGCGTCGCATCTCAGGCTAGGCCACATCTCCGGTGACGCACCTGCTTCGTGCGAGGTGACGTGGCCGGTACTATTCATGCGAGATTTCTAGGTTTTCGGGCCCCGAACTTCTAAAATCCATAACTTTCGCATAAGAGCTCCGTTTTTACGTTCCTTATATGCACGCGTAGCTAAAATTACGCTCTACAACTTTCGTTTAGACTTCGTCGGCTAATTTTGATTTTATTTTTAATATTATTATGTTTAACAGACCGGGGCCGGAGAATCCGTTAAAAAAATCATAACTTCTTCATCCGACATCCGTTTTCGTCAGACTTTTTACCGTTGTACTACAAATAACGAGACCTTTGATTCTCATTTAGGATGTGTCGGTGAAAAATTGCTCGATCTAAAATTCAAGTTTTTAGCTGTCTACTGCTAAGTTGAAACTTCGAAAAATCATAACTTCCTCATACGAAGTCAGATTTTGGCGTTCTTTTTATCGAATTTCTCGGTTTAACGAATACTACGACTTTCATTTAGATTACTAAGGCTAAAAAGTAGTTTATCAAAAACTCACTTTTTACGTCATTCGGCACCGTGCCGGTTTTGTCGCGGATCTTCGGTTGGTCATAACTTCTTCGTTATAACTCGGATTTCGATGAGGTTTTCGCCTACAAGTTTCTAACGAGATTTTATAAGTCATATAATAATAAAATTTTACTTATTTAAAATTTTATATTTTCGCTAAATTTCACTATTTGGCTTTTAATTGGAATCTTATAAGACTTCCAATATTTTCTGAGTGATTCTAAACATAGTTTTACTTCATTTCTAGTAAAAACCATTTGTTAGAATTCAACACTCAATTTCACATAGTATTTCAGAATTTTATTCACTACAAAACACGATTTCAAAACGTGTATGTTACATTCACTCTTATTTTATTCTTACTTTCCCAAGTATAATTTGGGCCTCGATGGTGTTTCAATTTGAGAAGCACCAAATTCACTTCTTTATTACGTAGATTAGTCGCTCTTTCATTTATGATCTCTTCTACTTAACTTATTATCCAGTTTCACCTCAGATAATAGAACCATTTCATCATATATGCTTAACCTTTACACAGATAGCTCACATGAAACACTTCATGAATATCTGTCAAATCTTCAGGCAATTCCAAGTAGTATGCTTGCTTACTAACCATTCTTTCTTCCAAAGTAGAATAACGCCTTTTCATGAAATACCTTTTGTATTACTAAATCATCCACCCGAAATTCTATGGGCCGTCTCCTCTTTTCTGCATAGGACATTTGTCGATCCTGGGCCGCTTTCATTATTTCTTGGAGGGGTTCACAGCCAACAAGGGTTCACGGCCTAACAAGGAGGGGTTCACGACCTAACAAGGGTTCACGGCCATGAACATGGACCTTGGTCGGGTCAAGTACATACCAAATATAGTTATGGACTTAGACACCTTATCCAACAATACTCACGAGGAGTCTACTCATGATCTACCCCGAATCCAAAAGGATGGCTTTGTTATTGAACAAAGTCCCTTGGATCCCTATGGGACACACTCACAAGTCAATTGGAATAACCCTATCTCGTTTGTACAAGCACAATCAGTGTCCCCTGCCACTGATTCCAAGCTTACTGAGACGAAAGTAGTCCCTCCCACCTCAGAAGCCACAACCGGTCTAATACCTACTTTAGGTAAAGGATGATTGGGTACTTTTAGAGATGAATGAGTTGATGTTGTTAATAAAGCTCATTTAAGGCATCCAAAGCTCTCAAGAGAATAAGTTGAATAAACTTTGATCTCCATGCGTTAATGTGCACTCCAAAGTCGCACTTCCTTCACTTATCCATCAAATGAAGAATTTGTTAAAGAAATTCTGCCAACCATTAATTCTTCGAAGACCAAACCAAGTGTAGACGTTCCCACTCCTGACATTATAGTGGGTGATCATCCTCAGAATAATGATGATAATGCAAAAGAAGTTCCATTTTCTACACCTATCGCAGATGATCCTAAGCCTGATGACGAAGAAGATCACTCCGAAGAGATCATATTTGAAGATCACAACACTACTGTTGGTTCCATTCAACTTCCTTCAATTTTCAATCTACTGCGAAAATCCTTTTCTTCCAAAGCTTATTTTGACTTCGGTCCCTAATCATCCTCAAATGAAATGGAAGGAGAAGATAATCAAGAAAGAAACAACACCACCTCACCTTTTCTTGAAACTACAGTTAATGGTGACCCTGGCACTCAAGATCAAGGTGATAAAAACGATAATACCATGGGTTCGGATGATTCTAATGATGGTAGAGATAATGATAAGAAATCTAAAAGCTTCACTTCGGACATAGGCTCCTCAAATGCAACGTCGTTGATCTGTTTGCTATCCTGGAACTCTGAGATAAAATCGTCAAAGCCAATTCTAAAATCGACACAATCTCCACCAAAGTCACCTCGCTTGATTCGAAACTTGATTTGGTGATTATATCTCTTTCTGAGATTAAGGTTGTTTCTCTTTTGGAGCTCGACCAAGCTAAACAACTAGATTATCTTATTTCTGTTTGGTTGAAACGCATACTGGAAGAAGCTGAGGAACGGTACAAAGACAATCTCTATTATCACATCTCCACCACTTCTACAACATTAAAGATCCATGATGACATGATTTCAGCTACCAATGAGCTCATCAAGTAGACTCATGTTCATCATGAAAAACAAATCCAACAATTGGAGAAGGAGATCAAGCATAAAGATGGCATGAATATGTTTTTGCAGGAAGTTCTCATCAAGGTCATTCGATCAACTCAACATTTTGTGGATACTCCAAACCACAAGTTTGATGAACTTCTGATAATCATGGAGGATACCTTCAATATTCTCAAATCCCAAGCTATAATTGCAGATGCTATGATAAGCTATCCAATCAAATCAGTTTGAGCTTTTAACAGGTGTTTGAACAATTAGAAAATTTGAAAACAGATGATTTGCTTACATCCAAGATAGGGCTTTCCCATGCAAGAGGGGAAGAAAATCTAGTTCAGTGGAATCCTATCTCGGAATATGAGCTCCGAGATGAAACATATGATGAAGAAATTGTTGAAGTAGAAACTTTTGAAGTAGAGGATGAGTTTGATGAAAACGGTCTAGTGAGTAATACAATTCTTTGACTTCAAGCCATTAAAGAACAACCTTCCAGCACAAAAGTCCTCTAGGAAGAATAAAATAAGAAATGACCCTCTGTCTGTTAGCAATCAAATTTAACATAAGCATTTAAAAGAAGTCAAGAAATGGCGATGATAAAAGAAAAGCAGACAGTTGATGCTTTCCGAGCCTCTCACTCAATGCCTCCTCCGATTCCTGCTTTGAGGATTGTTCCAATTGATGAAGCTTCTACCATTAGGAAACCTGATAATCTTCATGAAGAGCCCTTAATTCCACCTCCTTCTGAGCTGATCATCACTCATCCGGTCAACAAATCATCTCCTCTATCTCTACTCAGCAAGCTCTTGAAGAAAACATTTGGATTCAAGCGTTGAAACATAAGCCCAATCTAATGTTAGGCATCTCTCCGTTTTTATGAGAAGGAATTTTGCATCTGATATCCCCAAATTCACGGTTATTTTCAAAAATTTTATTTATGCTTATTTCGAAATCAGAGTATTGTAGAATTTGTTCCCAGAAAACATGATAATGATGTTATTAAAGCATTTCCGAAGAAATGTATTTTATTTATACTAAAAATTGTGATTTCATCGTCAGTATAGAATCATAATCATAAACAGACCTTACATTCATTTACACTAATGATTTACATCTCCTTTAATCTCTCAGCGTAACGTGCATTCGCATCGATACGTGTGATACAAATAAATTGAGTAGGCCAGGTTGGGAAACCTGGTGAGTACATATGGTTTTCAACCCAGAATAATATAGTTATTTTTTTTCTTCACATACTTTATGTCAAACAATTAACCTAATTAGCCATCCCCATTATCTTTATTTATTCTTCCCTAAAGATTTCCCCTAAGGTCATCTCCTACGTCATATTTACCTCTCATCTCCTTACATCACATTTCCTTATATATTTGTTCCTAAGGACTTTTCCTAAGCATCATCGCCTACATTGCATAGACAGTACTGATTCGGGAATTACTCCCCCAATCCATGTCAAATAAGGGTTAGAGTATCATCACATGAATACATAGTCACTACATCGCCTGAATTAGTAACTCATCACCTACAGTTTATGATCCTGCCGGTGTTTCCACATGACTTGTTTAGATTAGTCAGTGGAAGACATCTATACTCTGGTAGATGACTACATCGCAACATCGCAGGTCAAGGTTATGAAATCTCCTAATCGTCTCTCATATCGCATCACCTATTTATCAGCGCATATCTATCATCACCTATCTCTCATCAGTCGTCATTACACAATACATATTTATAAGTATATAATACTTATACGATTAAATCAATTAAATACCATCTCATAATATCTTATCTAACACATAATATTCTTAGCACAAATAATAAGAACATAAGCATGTAATTATCTAGATACTTGATATCTATGTGTAAGATGAAAGTAACTATGCACTCACTTGTTAAAGTGACGACTCGTAATTCGGGCAGCGCTTCGCTTCTAGCAACTGTCTTTTCCTTTGACGAAACCTAGTATTATTATTGCTAAGTATTAGTATAATATTTATTGCGACTAATTATTATTCTATATTCATTATTAACTCAAAGTCTATGTCATGATCTATAAAGTAAGGAACAACCAGGTAGGATCATGTCGGAGGTAGGGGCCGTTTGGTATACAAAGTATACTATGTGGAAATCCCACTTTGATCATTTCCTAGACATCATCTTCATATGTAGATCAATCAGTACAACACCTTGGGATTACTGATAAATCTTGTTCATAGGTTCATAATAATGATAATGAACTTAAACATATACTTAAAGTAGGGTAAGCATAACTCACTTACAAGGGGGTTTAGCAAGGAATCGGGCTTTGCTCGAGTAGAACTTTTGAGCCGAAAGCTCTTCTTCTCAGAGCCTTTTGTCGCTCTGGGACTCACCTCTAACACTTAGGTAGTGCTAGGGAAACATAGAAGGTTTGGGAGTAACTAGGAGAAGAGAATTGGAAAGGTGTGAAGAAAATGAATGATTTACACCTCTATTTATAGGCTATCCAAGGGTGATTCAATTCTTGAAATCAAAATTAACATGGTGACCTTGCATAGGCACCAAGGCTTTTTCTGGTGCTGATACGTGGTGTAGCTTCTACTGTAGGCACCTGCTCCACCGCTTGGGGTTGAGGTTGTTAATTTTTGTTTGCATTTCTGGCTCCACTTCGTGTTTTTGCCATTATTATATTTACATCAAATTAGGTGAATTTAGATCTTCATTCACGATAGATATTTAAATTCTCCTTATCGCTCCGAAACATTACATGCTAGTTCTAATATCGTAGTCGTATGCTTAGAATCCTGAACACATAAGGTTTCCCAGATTCGGTTGGCAACAGACCATAGATCCGAACAAATAATGTCATATATGGAAAACATATAGCATTTAGCACATAAAAGCATTTTAGGCATCTTTCCTAAAATATACTAGTGCTTGTGTCTAAAATATGGTAGACACTCATCTCACAATCATCACATAGCATTCTAAGTTTAAGTCTAGAAATCCTACAAATTCCTAGTTCGCTTAAACTAATGATCTGATACCAACTTTGACATCCCCTAATTTCTTGGCCAGAAAAGACCGATATAGTTTATGCTTTAAAATAAAATTAGAGTATTCTCTCAAATAAAATATGCGGAAATTGTCCACAAAACAAAATATGATAAAATATTTATCAAAGCATTTCTTAAAGAAATGTATTTTTCATTTTATTACAAAAGCTCGGATGTCGACATCGATACTGACCCAAATTATAAGCACCATATTATAGACCTTACAATAGATATTTACATCTAATGGCCTGTAATCCAAAAATCCATCTTCATCATCTAACTATGCTCTGGTTCCACTACCTGTAATATAAAAAGCTGAGAGGGTCAAACTTAGGATCCTAGTGAGCATATACGGTTTTAAAGCCACAGATAATAAATTTATTAATTTCATCATCCAACAATAAATTTATTAATTTCATCAACCAACAATAACCTTGATTACCCGTTCCCATTATCCTCACTTTACGTCCCTAAACACCTATCATAAGGGACCTAGCTTAAGGATCATCACCAGGATGGACATTACTGCTAAGGGGATTCCTCAGCCATACATGTCCTTAAGGCAACCATGAGGGGGATGGAGTACACCGGTGAGCACATCGTTCACAAACACCTATAGGTTGCGAGCCTGCCAGCGTTCCACTTGTCTGTCTAGAAAGGTCCGTGGGCATCATCTATACTCTGCCAGATGACTAGAACAACAACAACAACAACATCAAGGCCTCTCATCATTTTAACACACACCAACTATTTCATCTACCCATGTTATACCCAACATATTTGTAGATAAAAATACATATACATTTTAAATCATTTTAAAACCTGTATAAAACATTCTTTCAACACCTATCTCAAATAAACAAACAATAAATATACAAATAGCACGTATTTTATAGAAAATACTTCATATCTATGTCTAAGATGAAAGTGACTACACACTCATATGTTTTAATGATAATTGGGCAGCACCTCATCTCTTAAAATAATTTTTTCTGATGAAACCTAGATGTTTTCTCGAAAACCAGGCTTCATGCGGGCAGACTTTAGTCTCGAAAAACTCTTTTCTCGGGATCTTTGGGCTCTCCAGGAGTTGCTTACGATCCTAGGATGATATATTAGGCTTAGGGGTATTTAGTGTAGCTTGGAAGAGTGTAACACCCTGTTCTAAAATATTCATTTAAGGATTTCAGAAGCCAAGGCCAGGGGCGTTTTGGTCATTTTTGGGCTTTGAGTTTTGTTCGATAGGTTTTTGGCCGGGGTGTGTCGCTAGAAGCATAGGACTTCTCGCCACCTTTTCGTGGATATAAATTTCATCGGAAACAGACTTGGAACGAAGGGTTATGACACTTTGAAGTTATTGACAGAAATGGACCCTATTGGAAATAAATGACTAGAAGAACCATGC